GATATTTTTTTCTTCTTTGAATGTTACTTTTCCCCACGTGGAGTTCATGTTCAGTGGGGATGAACGACTTGAATTTTAATGTTTCGACTTCACTCTATAATCAACCTATTTTAGGAAGTATCTACAACACCCCTTATTTTCGAAGTAAAACTAGATGATTTCAAAAGACAGTAATACCAGCACTAAAGTGATTGCCTCTAATAAATGTACTCCCGTTTATATTTGAGTAACTAGGGAAGAGGCCACAATATTTGTGAAAATGACACAAAAATATACTGTCGTTGAATGTTAAATTGCTCAAGTGAACATGTGCCTCATCATGGGCCTCCTACATGGGTATTTCTATAGCTAAGTTCATTACCGGTCTGAAATTACAGAATTAAGTCCAATTTAAAAGAAATTTCGAAAAAATATTTTTATAAAAAGAAAAAAAAAAGGAGGGTTGTGTAAACTTTCGGCTCATAACTGGAACCTATTGATTTTATTGTCAATACAACAAATATATATTATAAATAAGCGTATATACTTCTGCATAATTTTTGAAAGAATTTTGAAATTCTATTGAACATTCCTTGAAGACTGATGAGCATGCAAATATTTTATGTTCTGAGAACTATTTGATAAATTATTAACCACGCAGTACAGTTAAGGTATCAAATGGAAATATCGGCGAATTTTTTCGACAGAAAATACATTCTTTACAAGGATGGGCGATTCTTTTTAGGCCTTTACTATTATCGGAAAAATGTAATGTGGCTGAAAACTACATGTTGAGGACGTTTATATTTCTTATTTAGATTTGTCACGTAATATGGCAGTCACGTGATTTTAGCAAATATACCTGCAGTATTGAGGTCATCTATAAATTCCAATATTGCAAGGGCATAACCAAGTTAAAAATTTAAGTTTAATTTAAAATTATTTTCAACACTCTTTGTAGTTTGTAAAAAGTGTTGCGAACCTATATAGATTCTACTATATAATTGCTAAAATTACATTTGTAAGACCGTATGTTGAATATTTTGCTCGTCAAGAACATTAAATGTAGATATAATTAATTCATTTGCAAGATTTCATCAGGTTCGCAGCACTTTTCAAATATCTTCATACCTCTTGAGTTTACGTGTAAAAGCTTGTCATAATTCATTGAGGGTACGCCCTTGCAATATATCGATTTATTACGACCCTTTTATTACCCTTCAATGAATCTGCATACAAATGTACGGCAGTTTCACTTGTCTAGGGAATGTATGGGAAGTATATAAATAAAATCATAAAACAGACATCGCATCCAAGTTAATGGCCTCTTATATATCTGCAAATAATATTTTATTTAATTACAAAACACATTTTTTCAACTGATCCGGCTCTCACTGCATACAAACTGCGTCAAATTTTACGATATGTCGTCACATTGACAAGTGCATTGCGATTAGTGAATTGTTTATATATTGCTGTGTGGGATTTAACCAACGACAAAAATACATGCAATAGTAAGTATTGATGTAGTTTAAAGCTATTCAACAATTTAAAATAGCGTATCATTTCATTTTGTGGTAACTTGAAGAACATGGTTTTGTGTGTGTGTGTGTGTGTGTGTGATGTCATAGTAAGCATTTCCCGTAAAAATTACGCCCCGCCTCCTTACTGCAGCCTTAACTGTGCTGCGCATTTAGCGGAAATTATTGAGTTTGATATCATTGGAAAGATCACAAAAAATACACACATATTGTGACGTCACTTTGCAATTTTTATGACGTAATAACTCCGAAAACGACGTCAGAATTCCATGTGTTTCGCATACTGACCGTAAAAATGACATAACAAGAGACAAAATTTCAGTGAATTAAAATTTTAAAGTCAACTTATGTTCATTACTCGGATGCACGCCAACGGACACAAATACCAGTTGAGAGAATGTTTCCATAGACTTCAGTCTATCATATGACTTTTTTTTTTAGGAGATCCTATAGTTCTGAGGGGGTTTAAGCATATGTCAAACATCACATGTTTTTATCGAATCTCGCTCAAAATATTGCGTAAAAAAGACCTAGCTGTGATGACAAGGTTGAAAATCAAAGGAGAATTGTGGACGGTGTTACAAAATTTGCTGGCATTAATGCGTCAGGTGTTTTAACCAATTTTGTGGGAACGATTATATCTCAAGAGACGTTAAGTTAAGAGTACCCTATATTTTCTAGTAAAAACCAAAATGGCACCGGCATAGTTGTAACCCCTCCGTAACTCAATATATTCGAAAATTTTAACTCATGGAAAATAAATAAGATTGTATATGGCAATGAAACTCAGATTCTTTTTTTTGAGCCGAAAGTCAAAACCAGTAGTGAGTTTTGGAGAGCCAAAGTTGAAATACTATATGAAAAAAATACGCACAGGAAAAGGTCCCGGGGATGACTTTTGTACGTTTTATTCCTTAAAGGTAAGAGTCATGTTACTCATGATTCATTTGTGGAAAACTGCATTGATACACTTCAGTTTTATACAGAACAGGTTTTGTTTAATACAGTGGAGAGCTATATAATAGACCGAAAGTCCAGCTGTATTATGTAAATAAAAATCTTAAATGAATGCCTATGATAGCATAACCGTACATAAACAGTGCTTATAAACCAACCATGAAATGAAATTTGGAATTGCTGATAAACAGTACCATTTTCTCAGTGTTGCTCTACCTCCATACAAATTTTACTTGAAATATTTTTTCAAAGAGGCCTTTGACAGCACTTTTCCGATCTTCTCATGTGGACAAAAACGCGACTTCTCAGTATGCTACACAATCGAGATTCTGACGTCATTTTCGGAGTTATTACGTCATAAAAACAAGAAAGTGACATCGAAATAAGTGCAAATTTTTCAGCTCTTTTCAATGGTATCAAATTTATAAACTTCCGTGAAACAGTTAATATTTTATCAAACAGTTCTCAGAACTTTTCAAATGCCCCTCGTAAGATTGATATCCATGCATCTTAAGGGTCAGTAGTGCAGGTTCAAGTTTGAGCAAATCATTGTCCCAGGATGCAGCAGGATAGAGACACAAAAATGTGGATCCACGTTTACATGTCATTGTTAAAGAAATAAAGTGAGCAGGGCCACACCAACTCCTAATAATAAGCAATGAAATATGGAGATAACGAACAGTAATCAAGCGTAAACATCTATTGAACAACATAAATCGGAATCAGGGCAAAGAAAGACCTCTAAAAACATTAATGGTGGGAGCATCTCGTGTCGAACCTTCACACCTGCCGTGTGCTCCTTGTTAAGATCAGACAAACAGAAAAATCCGTAGACAATTCAGTGTGTAAAATGTCAGAACAATTCGTAAGAAAAACTGCTGTCAGCATTCAACTTAAAGATAGATTAGTTTTCCTGACAAGACCATTGTACCGACCATAGAATTTGCAAAATGTTTGATTCATAGGAGACTGTTAAAATCCTTGTTTGTCAATAGTTTGCCTTGCTTTAGAATTTGTTCATTCGTAAAGCATTCTCTTGCGTAGTTATTGAATCAAATGGAAGAAATAAATTCCATATGCAGGTGATACGGGTATATTAAAATTGCTACATTAATAAGGAAAATTCACGATAGAAAAATTGAATGAGAAGGCATCACGTTTATCATATAGTTGTTTTATTATAGGTTACTATTAACGTCTTTTTCTAGCAAAATATCGAAATATGAAACAGATATGTCAGACGCTGGGCTTAAATTTCGAGTTCAAAGCAAACAATGTCGCAAATTCATTCTAAAAATTAGGATTTATTAGAAATCAAGGTATAGGATAAAAATTGGTTGGTTTGAAAATATTCAGAACATTTTGAATAATTGTGGACTATCTAATATTTGGCTCGAACAAAGTACAAGTAATTACAAAATGGTTAAAGATTAAAGTTTATTTCATATTACCGTATACCGTTCGAGGAATTTTTAGCGAGATGCAAATTAAGCTATTTGTCCTTAGAAATAAGAATTTTATTTTAGAGAGAAGTAATTTTAGCGATTTTATTGAGCGTAAATAAATAACATTAACCTCCTTTTCGGAATTAATTGTTAGCGATATCTAATTTTAGCGATCTCATCACCCTTGCTAAAAATGCCAAAATTGAAGAATCCTCGCTAAAATTTCTGCTTATACGGTAATTTGTCAATTCAAACAATGTTGGCAATCAATTATTCAAACCACTTTGCCAAGTCGTTTGAAAGTTTTTTTTTTCTATAGAAAGTAGGTAGTTGGTCATTATGCATTGGGTTTGGATCACAATGTGGAACGTGGAAATCGGTCCTTCTGATGAGACCCGAGACGAGGTCCTGTATTACAGTAGTGAGCACGGCAATAGTCGGCGTCTTAATATGAGTGATTAACTTCTCGAGGGACAAACACACTAACAAAAGTATTCAAACCTCGCATATACCAATAAATTATAGAACATATACAAATATAAAATATAGTTTGAAAGTTATCAAAGCGGATGTATTTATTTTTTGTAGAGTTCGAACTTGTAACCACTTTTTTACCAATTAAATGTTGACGCTGTGATTATATACAAACACAAAGGAAAATTTGTCCCCATCTATTCCAAGAGATGAATTTATTAGATACAAAAGTGCACTTCACTTCAAAAAGACAGAACGTTATGTTTTAACAGATAAACAAATAAAATGATGAACATAATACGTTTAAAACACATTATGAATTGTAATAAACAATGCTTCCTGAGAAAATTATGTTCATCTATAAATTAAATAAACGAAATGTGCTACCCGATCTGAAATTCCACTGCTTCACATCTATGCGTATAATAAACTAGGGAAACACTAACAGTTGATTTTCAAATTAATATATACAGTTAAACAAAATAAAATTCAAATTTACTCACAACCAAGAAAGCTTTGACAGCGTCATAATTCATTTAAAAGAAAAAAGTGTATTTGCTTGATTTGTGGTTACTTGTTAGGGTTTTTTAATATAATTATTAGTCTAGACAAGATAACTGATTACTTTTAATTCCTCCTTTGAATTTTCCACCAAATAAAGCTTATTGTCTCTGGACACGCTCACGTCTTGTGGACAGTGAAGGTTACAGTTGTCAATAAATCGGAGAAAGTGTCCGTTATGATCAATAATATGCACAAGGTTATTCAGAAAGTCGGTTATCAAAATATGAGACAAGCTGTCACATGCAAGGCCTCGGGGATTAAACTTATCTTTATATTTTGTCAAAGCTCGGTTTCCTTCATAACTGAAAATGAACTCTCCATCGCTATCAACAACTTCTACAGAGTTCTTATCCCAGTCAGAAATACATATATCAAAATTTGTATTTTCACAAATGAATAATGGGTTTGAGTACAAAGGTGTACTTATATCTTTGTACTGAATTTCCTGAGAGACTGTAGTCCCAGAATATCGGACAACTTTGCTTTGTTTTTCGTCATCTGTTTGCATTGAAACTAAAATGTCACCAGTAGAAGAGGAACATATAGCTAATGGTTTCCAACCATCAAGTGTTATTAGGGTTTTTATTGTGTTATTTTTTACAAAATTAACACTTCTGTCGCGGTTATCACTGTAAAACAAAGTGTTATTTTTCGAAACTGTTATATCAATGAGAAAATGACTCTCCGATTTTAATTTTGTCACATTTAACTCATTTCCAGTTGCGCTAAATTGTTTGATAGTGCTACTAGATCTAACGTAACAGTCATCCGATTCAAGACAACAGGAAATTTTTGGTGAGACTTTCAATCCAGTTCTCCATGTTCGTATTATTTCAGGTATTCTGAGGCCCTCTCTTTTGCTTCGAAGATTAGTCGCAGAGGGTATAAGATAATGACGCGTCTCTCTTCTGACAGAACAGGTGAGTGTCCCAAACAGCTGGCTTAATGCTTCTTGAGGAATCCTTTGAGACACGAAAGATGGAGGCGATAACTCGATTAATTTTTGCACTTCTGGGAATCTTTCATTCTCCGACTCATGTTTCAAAACGTTTTTAATGGTTTTTGTCTTCAGAAGATTCTGATTTTCTTTAGTAATTTTCTGAATCTCAGAGAGAATTGATTTCATATCTGAAATCTGCTTTCCTAAAATTGAAAGGTCTTCTTCCTCTATTTTCTTTGCTTCCTTCAGATGATTTTGAATGATTTTTTCTAGTTCTTGGTGGAGATAGGTCCCCTGCTCAATTATGTTTTCTCTCACCTCTTTGTGAGATCTTTCCTGAAGCATTTTTTTTATATTCTAGATCAGATATCAGTTTTTCGTACCCTGGTGCCAGGGAATGTTGAAGCTCTTCCGTCTCTTCTCTAAGCTTTTCTAACAGCAATTGTATATTTAATGAAATTTCAACCAGTTCATGATTTCTATGCGATTTTGATGCAAGGCATTTTGCACATACAGGTCTGTCGCAAACACTGCAAAACATAATACATCTTTCCATGTGGGTGTCACAGTTTAAAACATCAAAAACCTGTTCCGTTGGCCGATCCTTGTGACCAACAATAATATGCTGAGTTGATGGGTTCGAGTTCCTAATGTGGACACCAACGCACTCACTACATAGATCTGCATTGCATGTACTGCATAATCTATCAGCAGGCAACTTATTTTTCTTGCCGTTACATAACCCACACCGTACTACATCTTGCGTCAGATGATTCATTATTTTTTGACATTATGATTTCTCTGGAAAGAAAAGAATTAGTCAAAGTGCAAAATTCCAATTGTACAGAATCAAAACATTTTTTTTCGGCTATTAAATTCAATTAAACTGTCTTACCTGGTTCATTCAACGTCTTCAGTTACCTGAAATCCTGTGATATATGCGTGTTTGCTTTTTTCCATTTTACGATCTTTAATATATATGTTTACCATAAAACGGGGTACACTCCAATTGAGATTCTTTGTTAAAACTTTATCAGCTATATATAGGTCACTATTCAGTCTTCTCTCTAAATTGATTTTTAATTTTGTCATGCATCCAAGTATCATGTGTCACATTTGTCATGCCCTGGACTTTTTTTTATACTTTTGAATAATAAGCAGCAGTTAACAAAACAGCCTGTTAAATATTTTCATTTTTGAGTTAACTATAAATAACACTCTGGGGGTATTGCTGGAATAATACTTCTCCTCTAAACGTGTCTGAACCAGAAAATGTCTTCTTTCAAAGAGGAGAATAGTACGGGCCTGAGAATTTTGAAGTATAAATTCTTCACGAGATATGTTGTACGGCGAAGAAAATATCCTCCTTAATTCTTAAATTCTTTTGAAAAATGTCCCTATAACTTTACGGAAAAGCATAAATCATATGAAATAATATGTTGAATTCTGTTATTATTTTCTTGCAAATCAGTAAGTAATATATAAAGTTGCAGAAAAATGGATTAACCTTCAAGCAAATCTAAACAATAGAAATTGAAAAGTTTGATTTATTACATAATGACTATAATTTAAGTAAGAGCTTGCTATAATATCTCAAGAATACATGCGATGAGTGTCATGATCTTTTCAAAGACATAAACCTTTTTATCTACTCTGTTTCTCCCTCTATTTGTCTTATTTGTTCCCAAAAGAAGTCGAGCGATTCATAATACATTCCATGATAGTATATGAAACATAGTTATATAAATTCGACTTGCAGATACACTGCAAGCATAATTCAAGATAATGAAGGAAATTCGTTTCTCTTAGTTGTAAAATGGATTAGTATTATCTATCTTCCAGATAAGCACATATTCATACTTTTTACGCGAACTACTTTCAGCTATAAGGTACGTAAGGAGAATTCAAAGCACGAATGGAAGATTTAAATCATCAATAGAATTATAAAATTTTGAAAGATGATTAGAGTAGTACGTAGTACAGAATTCCAAATGTTAGTCATATTGAGATAATTCTAGAATTATTTAAATCTCCATATACATACAGCGTATTTAAATAAACTATTAGATCATTTTGTTTTGGGGCTCTTTCCAAAGGTTTCAATCAAGCTTTAAAGAATTGTACTGTTACGACTGACGTCAGTGTACATAACCAATGGCAGAGCCTGGAGAATTAGAAATTTTGTAAACTTTTAAACAAATCCTTATTGTTTATATATATAGAGAGAGAGTTTAAATAATTTTATTGCGGCTATACAAACTCCTGTAATCAGTAAGTCGAATGCTGACTGACGTTTTTGATGCTAATCTTTAGGCCATTATTCACACACTGAATTGTCTACACGTTTTTCCGTTTTGTCCGGATCAAGACAAGGAGCAAACGGTGGGTGTGACCGGTCAACAGAGGATGCTTAACCACCCCCAAGACACTTGATCCCACTTCTGATGTTTTTAGAGGTCCAGTTTGTTCTGCTTCCGATTTGTCCTGTTTCAAAGGAAAGAATAAGGTTCACATAGGGCCTTTTGGCCCTGTGAATTTCTAGAAAACTGAAACTGCTTATCTTTAGTTGACAATGCATTTAATTAAATTTAGACATTTGGCGATTGCGAATCTACCAAAAATGACGCAATTTTCTGGCTAGTCAATGCATTATGACGTCATGAAATGCGTCATTTTCCTCATATCCTGAACAATTCTACAGAAACAGCCAATTTTTAAAGCTATTTTTCGATAATTAATATAGAGCGCAATCTCTGATCTAAAATATGCAATTATTTACTGATAGAACCGTTTCTGAGGATTACAAAACATGTTTTATTTTTTAGATCAGAGGGTGCGCTTATATAATTTTTCTTCTCTGAAAGTTAAGTACTTAAATCTACCTATTTTCCTTAAAATTCAAGAACATTGCAATTCCATAAAGCTTGTTTTCCAAGACCTGGACTTTAAGGAGAAAAATTTTAATAGGAAAAAGCACTAAGTCTCTACTTCATCTTGATGTTTAAAATGGACATAAGGTGTTAGTCAATAAATTGGTATATCTATAGGGCCATTTTATGCATCAAGTGAACCTAGCTCTTTGAGCCTGATTGCTGTTTGTTATCTTCATGTTTCATGTTGTACATACATTGAATTCCTGATTTAGGCTTGATTACTGCTTTTATCTCCATATTTCATGTAGTACATACAATAAATTTCTGATGCAATACTGATGTCTGAAAGATTATAAAATAAATAGAAAACTAGATTCCTAGGCCATATGTGTTAATTTGAATATTTATCTGTTTGGTTTTTTTTTTTACAGTTCTGTTTAATAGTTCAACAAAATCGAACAAAAGTTATAAAATATATAATAATGTCATAGTAATTTAATTAGTAAATTTAGTAAAGTCAAAGATAAATGACACGTAAGCATATTTAAAGCCATGTTATTAATGATTTTTATATAAAAAAAAAATAAATTCCAAATCATCCAAAGAAAATTTATATTCAAGACTAGTAAGTTTAGTTGTATATATTTTTTTTTATTTTAACACGCATTTTTACAATTTGGGCCACGACTTTCCCTTTGAAATAAACAAATTTCATATATGTACATGTATCATAGTAATTTTAAGATTTGAATAATTTAGTTTTTAGAATATAAAAGAAGCGTTGTTTAAGATAGCCTCTGTAGAATAAAACCTTTATAGAGAGGACGACAAATGACTTAAGACAAATAATATTAAGGTCAATATAATTGTTATTATTAGGGCCATCAGATACGGCTTGCACATCTAAAATACAAAACAATGGCTGTCTCTTATGAATGACAATCAAATAGATACCATCAAACATTGATTACCGTTGTTGCATTAAGATCTTCTATTTTAATCAAAGAGAATTAAATGTCTCACAGCTAATTCATAGCAAACTATTTTAATTTTGAAGGTATCAGTGTTTTATCATGGGAATTAAGCGGACCTCAAATTTCAAAAAGTTTACCATTTTATTTTTATTTCATCTTCTATCAAACGTAGGTACGATGGTCTAAATTTCTTACAAGAGAAACAGATACGTTTTTATGTTGAAAAACTTTGAATATAGATAGAAATTTATGAAATGTTTGTCATTGATTATAAGTATGTTTAATGCATTAGAAAAAGTGGCACCCGCAAGTAGTACGACGGCGAGCACTGAGGATGACACCACTACAGAGACAGAAGAATCTATAACTACCACCACCACCACAACAACAACAATAACAACTTCCACCACAACAACTGACGAAGAAACAACGACAGAAGTATTTACAGTTGCAGCAAACTCAGATGCTACAGAAATAACAACAGCAGAGCAATCAATCACTACAGTTTCCTCAGACGTTGACACGACGACTAAAGATGGCGCCACAGTACAAAATATAGAAAGCTCATCGAGTGAAAGTTCCACCACAGAGGTTATGTCCACTACAGACGATGATGATTCATCGGATAGTACGATGGATGCCACCACTGACGTAACTTCTCCGATAGAGAGCAGCACCGCTGACGTCACGACAGTTGTGAATACGTCAGTGGAGGCAAAAACAAATGATTCCCAACAAAATTCAATACAGCCAGAGGATGATAACAGTAAGTGTATTTGAGGAATTATTGATATACACTACCAGAATTGCTTCCGTTTTTGGATTTGACCTACATTTTCCAGATGAGTGACCAGGTTACTTAATTTTTATCAGAATCCTTTCAAACGTTAAAGAAGTGGGTTGGAGTCAGGTATGCAATTCAAGACTTTTATTTTTACTTAAATTTTTATTGGTTGCCTTTTGACTTTTCAGCTGGCACCACCATAGTCATTATTGTCATAGCAGTGGTGATCTGTACGTCAGCTGTCATAGGAATCAGTGTCATAGTGTACAAAACAGTTATAAAAGTGCAGGTAAACATTTCTTTTTACAAAGTGCAGAGTAATATTATATATCGTTAAGTACAGGTAAACATTTCACATCACAAAGTATAGGTAAATATTTCATTACGTATGGGTAAACATTTTATATCATACAGTACTTTCAGATAAACATTTCACAAATGAACATTCCAGGGTGATAACTGCTGTGGACTTTAATATTTTTCGTGTATAAATGTATGATTAAATGCAAAGTTTACAGAATTAAATTAAGGGAATTTAGAGGTAATACATAAATAATAATAACTTGTATAATCAAAGAACATCGTGTCATTAGCTACATGTATTATTATTGACCTCACTACACCAGAAGAACACCATGAATTTATTTACTTATGCTACAGAACAACATACAATTATGAATCAACATTGTATGCTATACCAGTACAAAGCAGTGTTTTGTTTTAATATACAGGTGGATAATATAGAATACGACCCAGAAGAATACAGTGGCATTAAAACAAACCCATTTGACGAAAATGGGATGATTTTGTGGTACGAAAGTGCACAAGTAGCCCCATTAATGAGTGAACTTACCATCATCAAAACTCCATTAGAGACTGCTACAGTGCCTGAAAACCCAGTTCAGAATAAAACGAAAGTCAATAAAAGAACTCAGAAAAAGCCAAAACGAAGAAAGCCAAGAAAAAAGATCATTTCTATATATCATTGACCATTTTTATGCCATTGTTTCAACAACTAGAGAAGTGGTTTTATGAAGATACTAAGAACAGTCTTACAAGTGTAGGCCTACCGTTGATAAAGATCTGCATGTTGCATATGCATTTAACAGCAAGAACATTTTCATTCATACTATAAGAAAAAGATAAAGAATTTTATGGGAACTGTACGGGAAGGACAGCTTCTTGATTATTATTCACACATGCGAAAATATCAAACAATGACTCATAACCACAGGATGATCATATATTGGGGGCACTTGTTCTTGCAAGACGTTTCACAACATTACAATCCATGTTGTTTTTCCTAAGGGGGAATAACTCTTTACTAAGAGAGAAATTCAAGATTGAGAGAATCACTGTTTTCTTGATTAAAATAATAGACCTTTTTAAAATAAAATGCTCTAGTTGTTATGCTCATTTTTATACACATCTAACATTTTGCTCCAAAGTTGTAAAAAAAGAAGAAAATTCCAATAACAAGGAGAATTCATCAAGTCTAGAAAATAATTATGGTAAATTACTTTATATATAACCATAACTATAGTAGATATTTGTTCGGGAGGTGGCTAGGAAGAGTAAGCATCCCCTGTTGACCGGACACGCCTGCAGTGAGCCAAAGTATTGATCAGGTAGACACATTCAAATAAAGTATATGTATAAAAATAAAGATCTAACAATTGGTTTGAAACACCTCAGTCAAAATACGACCAATTTATATGTTATATTTGTTACAATACGTAACAAGGTCATTATAACGATCATATAATTTACGAAATGCTGACATTTAATGAGATTGTTGAAATTCCTGTAACATCATCTTATCTGCCAGTAGCCTGCCTTGGATTAAAAATTGATCGTACTCAGAGCTCTTGAGTATCAAATAAGCTGGGTTATAAAAACGCTATAGGCAGGTGATTGCAGAATATTACTACATAACACTACTAATCTATAGTAAGCAAAACATCTAAATATTAAACAGAGTGGTGTCTTTTATTTCAAGGTCACTGGGATATATCGAGCCAACATATGAAAGGAAGTAACTATTGTTAATTCATAACACGTCGTCGTCGATATATCTGAATATCGAATTGAAGGCCATAGCAAGTGTCTTCTTCTCATGAAGAAGTCTTTGATTAAATTTTGCTTCATATGAATATAAAAACAGGTCGACTAATAAAGGGGCACAGTTAGTGCACATCAAAATTCCAACAGTTTGTTGGAAGACTTGGTCTCCGAAGACTGCATATATGTTGTAAATGAGGAACTCTAGCATCCTTTTAACATCACCTTCAGAGTACTTGTGTGTAGAGTCAGAGTTATTTTTAACAAAGTAATTTTGTTGATGACCAATCACAAAATTAGAAAATTTCCGAGTTCCGTTTTTTTTTCTTCTTTTTTTTTATGAAGCAGTTGTCTATGATAAAAAAAATATTCAATTTATCGTGAGGAATGGTTGAGCTAAATATTTTTTTTGATTTGTACGTTCCTAATTTAAGTTGATTATTATTCCAGTGATTAAAAAATCATTAAGGGATGACTTAAATAAATACTTCGAAATACGCTGTACTGGCCAGTGAAAGTGGAGTTCGCAACATGACATAGAATTGAATGTTGTATTTGAGTATAATAAATCATTAATGAACGATTATTCTTAAGTAATTTTTGTATGCAAAGAAAGTAGGTGGGTAAAAATTTTTATTATGTTTCTATCATCACATCTCATCTGCACATTTTTGTGTTTTTATTTTAATATATTATAAAAATCAAATTATATACACATTTATGACAAAAATATCAACAAAAAGATGAGTATATTCAGAACATTGAAACATTTTTGTGCATACATTTCATGGACAAAAAATATTCACTTAACAATGAACAATCAGTCACAATTATATATATAAGGTTCAATATCGTATATTTTGATTAATGTAAATTGTATAATTTTTTTTTTCATCTTTATAGTTGTGCTCCCTACAAATTGTTGATTCCCGTATTTCAAGGATTTTATTATAAATTTAGAAATGACGACAGGTCTTGACAACTGTATTTAAAAAAAACAAAAACAAACACACACACACACACAACGTTTAAGTATAAACTATATATGTGGCTTTAAAGAAAAGGTCACATACACATAAATGGCAATATTCAATAATAACGGTTTTTCTGCCGTGAAAATTGAGTAAAAATTTCAACCAAAAATATCCTCAGGTAAAAAATTTATTGCTTGTCATTTGTTTCATTTGACATGGTGTAAAATATGTAAGTAGAAATTTTAATAACTTGGAGTGAGGTATATCTTGAAAAAAGTGGGAAATCCTTATTCTTCATAATTCCCAGGGTTTGTGATCTACCTGTTTAAATCATTTTTTACCTTTGAAAAGCCCTATAATTACATGTAATAGTTGCCTTAAAAATGAAAATATTAAAAATGAAATTTTGACATGAATATGAACATAAAGAGCAGTACACTGACAAACAAAATCTTATATTGACGGTTGCAAAATAAAATACATCACATGTAGTGTCTACATTACAAATCTCAGCTCGAATTTTCAAAACACATACATATATCACCATTTTTCGAACCTAGATTTTTTTTTTTTTTTTGAATGCAATAGGTTAGCAGATTGCATATAAAATAAACTCAAAAGTATATCAAAATTGTATAAACCTGTATTTAATAAAAGCTTTTTATCAATATAACTAAATAATATCAACTTGTGTTTTCGATATTCAGTCCCATGAGTATCTTTATGCAGGAGTTGAATCTTTGAACAAAATCAAAACAATTGTTTTATATTTTTGCTTCTTTATAAAGAATGATTTAAAAAAGACTCCTCACCTCGGATTCACTTCATCACGTTAAGTGTATTTTTGTCCTAATTTGTTTTGCTGAGCAATGAAATGAGTTACTATACATGTGTGTCCATGAACGAACTTGTACTTCCTGTCACACTAGTACTGACTGGGAAATACTGCTTACCACCTGTAAAAAAAAAAAAAACAAAAGTAAGGAAGATAATAAGGAAAATACTGTTTACCACCTGTAAAAGATAAAAAGATGGAAAGATAAGGAAAAAGAATTGGGTTGTACCAGTTTAGTCAAAATATATTTCTTTTTATTGTTACATACCGAAAGTCTTTTTTGTCGACGAGGTATACTTAGGAAAGCGGGTTAACTGGACGGCATTTAAGTTTAAAACTGAATTATCTTCCTCAGTTCTAATCGTGACCCCTTGTCCAAGGTCATAAATTGTGGTCACTTCAGGGACAGGGCAATCTGTTGTAATATATACAGAAACACAAAAATTTTAATCTAAATTTATTTACGAATTATTTCACATCAAATACTGAAGACAGTCTAGTAAAAATTATAATTTCAAGGATATTCTCTCTTGATAATTGTTCTAAAAGGAAGTTATTTATGCACATTTTGTATGTATATGAAAACTAACCTTCAAAACCCTCTGCGTCATTATGATTTTTGGTTGTAGATGCCTCTACATGCTTTTTTAAAATTCCATTTTGCGACTGTTGTAATTCCTAATTTGCAATAATGAAATAATAAATAACTTTTAAAATATTTACAATATTTTGCTAATAATTGATCCATCAAATGTTAAATCTTACGAAAGAGTTAAGCTGTCAGATGACAAGACATTTATCGATCTGTTTGACCAGTTTCTAACTTGCCTTTTCGCGCTTGCTCTCCAGTAGCAGCCTCTCTCGGAGGTGGCCACAGTTTGGTTTCCACCGTGCGTGTTCCTGTATAGGAATATCCTGTGCCTCCCAGGAATGCACGTGTATATTACAGCAGTAACACTGCACGTGATCACCATATCCTTAAAAGAATGTTCAACAAATTCGGATTTTTTTTTTCAAGCCATTTTTTAATATGCACAAAAGTGTTAATAAAATTTTCATTAAAAGCAAACAGAAACTTGATATATAGCAATTTTAAAGCAGTTTCTGAAATAAGTTCTAATCTAACTTTGAATATAACACTTTAGATTTTACAATGAAAATTATCCTACCGATGTAGAAAAATCCAGCATTAGCCATTTGTACTGGATCCTGAGACTCTGTTCCAGGCCATGAGGCTGTGAAAGACATTAATCGTTCCTCAAACGAGGAATATCCTACTCTCTGAAATTATTATACACTATTATGGGAAAGGCTGCTTGGAACAAGGGCATAGCTAAACAAAATTGTTTGAAAAGCTTTTAATTTATATTTAAATAGGTGGCAAAATTATTTCTTTAATTAGTAAGTGTATAATGTATCAAAAGTACTCATGCATGTATGTATAAAGGCAGAAATATTTCATGATAGTAGTCATAGTAAAATTTTTGTGAGCTTGATTTTTTTTTATCAAAAACTTTATAAACATTTACTGAGTATCCCAGACATCGTTTGAAATGATAATATAATTTATACCAACGAATGCCTTACCAATTTCTCCTTGTTGTATGCGGAATAGCCTGTTTTAAGATATTCACACTTCGGTCTCCATCTCAAATGTTCAGTCCATGGATCACAGGAGCTATCCCAACATTTGATCCCAACTCCACAGGAGAAACAGCGAACATGATCAGCAGTGTCTGTAAGTTTAATCAAGGGACATTACTCTGGGTGACTTTACGCTGTTAAATGTAAGCGGGGTTATCTCTCTTTTCGTTCATCCATGAAATTAAGTTGTGTTACAATGTAATCTAATCTTGAAGGGAGATCTAATGTTTTAATTGAACACCTTTATGGTGAATCTGATTCCATTTAATCATGACAATATTGATCAAAACGAGGTATTTTAAATTTCTGACAAATTATGATAATCAAATATTGCTTTTCTCGTTTTTTTCCTTTTTCAATATGCATGGAGCCTACAAATTACCTGCATAATACATGTAGGTGGATCTACAAATTACCTGTAGAAAAGAACCCAGCGCGGGCCAGAAGGCGTGGATTCGCTATCCCTGGCCAGTTCTTAAAAGTCTGGAATCTCTTTTCATAAGTCTCGTAGTAAGGAAATGATCGAGTTTTCTTTTGTTTAACTTCTGACATTTACCTGCAAAAACTTCATGATATATACAAGGGTCATTTATTGTGATTCCGTAATGCACAATCTTATCTTTAATGTTTATATACACATATATCTGATTTTACGTTTCGATGATTTAATCTCCCGTAATGCCTATTTTTAAATTTGGAATTTCCCTTCCTGGTACACAAATATATTTAAAGGCGCAGCAATTCAATATGTAATGGCATTTATAACCTTAAAGAAATTAATACATTGACTCAAACTATCAATTCATATTTAACTGATCTATATATTTCGCCTTTCTACTCATTTTAGTGAATGTTAAGTACGAATGACATAAGAAAACAAATCAAACTCCATATTCATAAAATAATGTTTATGATTAGAATTTGAATTTATTAAAATCCCTAAATTCGATGTAATTTTGCGTTGTAACACAAATAAGCTGTATGTATACATACCTACAGTAGAAAGCAACTTGTATCTCTATCGATACTCAATTCGCTCGATTTTCTCAAGTTATCAGACAGGCGTGTTTGCTAAGAAATGAAGCTTATGATTGAGCAATACTAGATATTAATAGACACTGAAATTTTCCAGAGTTGATATTCTAAGATATTGCTGTGTTTTCCTTATCCGTGCTATATTTATCGAACGAAAAACATGTAAAAACATATTTATGACAGTTGCCTTCATTTTTAGCCAGTTTTAAAGTCTAGACTTGCAGCTGACTACATTACATTATAACTTCTGAGAAGAAGCCAAAATCATGCATCATATATATATATTTATATATATCGAAATAATTTTCATAGAGTTGTCTATGGTGAGATAATACAGCTAAAACCTTTTTTACGTCCTTCATAATACATTAACGAAACATATTTTCCTTGATTTATTGCAAATAGAAATAAGAGAAGTAGAATAAAACAATAACTGTGACTAAATTAAACGGATAAATTATATCAATTAGTAAGATAACATAGTTTATTATTCAAATGCGAAAAGAGTACTTAAAATCTTAAAGATATAATGTAAACACACACAAAAATCCTTTAAATATATTTATTTTTGGTATTTACACTGTTGAAGCAAGATTGTGAAATAAAATGCACAATTGAAAAAAAAAAACTTTAAGGAGGGATTCTTGTCTGGTTTCTGACTAAATGGAATATTCAGAGTATATTTGCTTTTATGATTTACATAACTAGTTGTAAGGGATTTAATTTAATGATATTATTCTATATTCCTTCTCATAATCGTTCAACTTTAAATATAAATGGTTAACTGAGTTTGAAATCTAACAGGGACTATATTTTTGGAGGATCCGGAACGGCGGCGCATGTAAATATACAGAATAATGAATTTATTTAATTCAGTTAATTTTTTTTTAATTATAAAGGACTTGAAGAAATTTTCTGAAGGTACTGAAAATAATAACTATGAACTAAAGCTTTAGATTATGTCAAATAAGTATGATTTTCTATTTAAAAAAAAAAAAAAAAAAAAAAAAAAAAAAACTTGTAAGCTTTTGAAAGTTTCCAATCAAAGAAACCATTTACTAAGCCAAAAATCAGTAAAAAGTGTTTTTATTTTCCCCCTCTTACTAAACGGTCAAAACTTTTTGTCTTTGTATCTTTTGATTCTTTGTACGACTACTTCACCATGTGTGAAAATAAGAAAAATTTAAATATAAGAAGCACATTAAAATAACTTATATTCCCTAAACAATTTTTTAAAAAAAAAATAGAGGAAATTCGGAAAACATCGTTTTATCGGCTCCGCTTATACATCGTCGGTAATACTCAGTTTGCAACCGTTAAATCAGCATTAACGGTCGCAATTCACTAATTTAATCTTTTGAAATAGAACTAGGCATTACATGATTGGCAACAGAATTTTTTTTTTCTTCATGTCAAGAAAAAGCATATTACCTTGACCTGACTTTGCTCCTGAAATAAAACGGTAAAGTTTATTCTTAGTAATATTATCTTCTTGAATCTGTAAAAAAATTATTATTTTTTTTTTTTTTAATATAATAAAATGAGGAAGAATCCCTCCTTAAGGCGTTGTTAAATTCAGGAGAAAAGATGAACTGATGAAAGGGTTCTGGAGAAACCTTGTGCATGGTATAAATCAGCCTACTCTCTTTATATGAAGTATAATTATTCAAGTATTATTACCAGAATTGTTAATGTTTGCCGGATTACTTTCTTTTATCGTTCTTCTTTTTTTTTTAAATGTCTGACTTTTTCTTTAAGAAAATACTAATAAAGATTAAGTCTAAGAAATTAAATATCACTTATTTTTTAAAGAAACACTCGACAATTCTCGGGTCTCTTGAAAATGAAAAAAAGTAAAGAATACGAGCTTAAGAAAAACCAGTTACTTACTTTCACTGGCCTCAAGAAAATAAACTAAGTACAGACGTGGGTAAAAATTTTGATTTTAAATATCTTGAGTTTTGTTTACATAGTTGCATTAAAAAAATTTAAAATGTGCGTTATACACCATTGAATTCATAAACATGTTGAGAAGTATAACTCATTGCCATTTTTTTTTTTTTTTTTTTTTTTTTTTTTTTTTTTGATATAAAATTTTTACGTTAGTGTATTCTAAAAAAAAAAAGAGGGAAAAAAATGTAACAGAAATCTATTTATTGCACATAAAACTGCATAAAACAATCATTTAAACAACTTATCCATTGTTTTATAATTTGAGTATTTAAGATTTGATAAGACAACACATCATTATTTATATACTTGAATAAATGAATGACCTGTCTTAAAAATCAAGTGTGCATATTAATTAATAAAGTCATCAAGACCACGTATCAAAACCAGCATATTTTCTTTAGGTATTATTACGCATGCGTGAGTGCCCGAAGTTGATTGAACAATATGGTTATCAAATTAATGTAGTTTAATTAAATGTAACTTCGGGACTTTTTCGCAGAATGCACAGTGACATTTCGCTTCAACTTGCTTCCAGCGTTGATTTTTAAGTTCAGCAGATAATCGAAATCACGTTCAAGTCCCAAACGTCACCCTTGTTGACCCTTTGATCTGTTGGCGACACATTGGACACTTCTTTAGAGCTGGAGCACATTGTGCACAACAAACCAGATGTCCACACGGAAGGAAAACTATGGCAACTGTTTTTTCGCAACATATCTTACACGTGTGTGCTTCTCGCATAGATTCGTTTTCCTTTTTCATTTCGTCTGAAATTTAAAATTCATTTATTAGAAACAATTTACATCATTTATTTATAATTTTTAAATGATTTTTCACCAGTGAAGAGAAAACAGAAAATGTTTAAAATAACCTTTTAATCTAAGTTATTGCGAAAATTGAAAAAATCTGAGAATCCTGTTTTACAGACATATTTTTAAAAATATGTGAAACAATCCACACACCATTCGATAGCTGCCTCGATTTGGATTTGGCATTTTTACTGTTAGTTACACATCCTTCATCCTCTAATCTAAAAATTTCCTCCAAAATGAGGGATCCCGTAAGGTTTTTCCATCCTATAATTAAAATAAATACAGAGATATATAATTACGACCCATTTCTCATGAACATAATTATTAGTTAAATAGTAGATATATTTTTCATTTAATTAGGTGAATTAACTGTATAAATGAAAAAGTGAACCACCTCCAACTTGTGGAATAATATTTTCTATCGCTTCTTTGATGGTTTTTGGAAGATACCCAAACTCTAGCACACTTTGTGCTGCGTCTGTAAGAAGTGGGTTTTTTTCGTAAGTGGACTCGGGGTATTCGTATAAATCACTCTCTAAAAATAGAAATGATACAACATACAAATTTTCTAAAGAAATTATATAAAAATTCAAAAATCAAATTGAATATATTTGGGTTTTTTTCCTCTTAAGAAATGTAAATAAATTCAATTTAATTTTAACCTACGTTTTATTGCTCTATGTGGTGGACAGTCTTGTTCAATATCGTTTACTTGCAATCTGTTGGAATATTCATTCCCTGTGTCAGCCTTAAAAAGAAAAGAATAAAACTATTAATTTGAAATAAATAAAACAGATCTGTTCTTTAAAAAAGTGATCCAACGTAATAAGAAATTTGAATATATGTAAAATAATTTATGTAAAATAAAAAAAAATAATTAGAGGGGGAAAAAAAAGAATTAAAATCCAAACATTTTTATTCATTTATTTATTTATTTTTATTTCTTTATTTATCTATTTTTTACTTATTTATTTCTTTATTTATATATTTATTTTTTTTTTTACATTATCATTTTATTATTTCTTATTTGTGGTTCTTCTAGTAATTACCTCTTCTCTCCGTGCAGCCTCTTGAACTTGTGCAATGAATTCAGCAGAAGTATTGTTTACTACAAAAGGACAACTTGGCCTCCATCTTGCATGCTCCACCCAGGGGTCATCTTCGGGGTCCCAGTTTCTTAACCCCACCCCACACTGAAAACAGCGCACTGAGTCTTCTACCTCTAAAATAAGTAGATTAAGAAATTAGTTGAAAACTCACCTGTAGGAGTAAACTTCATTAAAATATAAATTATTTTTTTCTGAATGTGCATATTTTAGTGCGTTTTAGGAATGGCTTACTAATTGAAAAGAATCCTGCCTCTGCGAGTTTTTTGGCCTGAACATTTATTGGCCATGATGCAAATGTTTGGATCCTCGCCTGAAGGTCCCTGTATTCAAAATGTTTAGCAGGAAGCCTTCTTTTCAACTGGCCGGCATAACTCTGTCGGATGATGTTCCCGGTCATATTGGAAGAGAAAATCTAATGTCAGTGGTCCGAAACTTTATATATATACACTTTGTCAGAGCACATTTAAATACCACGCAAGAGATCAGAATAAGTTTGGGAAAATTCCTTCTTCTAAATATAGTAACCGGCGATAAATATATATATAGCAATTAGTTTTACTACGTCCATTTGATTTCATGTTGTGTTCTAAGATTTATTTGATATTAAACATACACAAATATATTTCAGCTCTAATAAAAGATGAAAAAAGTGTTGTTAACCTAAACAGAGTTTACTGCTGACATGCGCAAATCCAGGAATTTTTTTCTAAAGGGGGGGGGGGTCCACCCCAGTCACAAAAATACATCCAATCCAGAAATTTCTTAACAATTTTTAGGAAATAAAAACGACGTAAAGTCCATTTCCACGAGTAAAAAAGTAGATCATGTGAGGATTGCCCCCTGTCTGTTTAAAAAATATGTATGAATTGAAGCTTTATCCAAGTATCAGTGGGCCATAATTTTAATACAATAAGTTTCATCCAAAAATCGACCCCCCCCCCCCCCTCAACCCCCAAGAAAATTATAAACTTGATCATTTCATCACATATAAGTAATAACTGAGAAAATATTAAAACTGTATACCTGTAACATTTTACAGAAAGGTTTATTATTCTAAAAAAAAAATCTTATAATTCTTGCTGAACAATTACAAAAGTAAACATTGAGTTTTATTCCTTCAGACTTTCTATAACAGGAGAATTCAGGGTTCTTTTTAAAAAAAAAAATCAATGTTGTGTGAGATACCGACGTGTAACATTCGTCGAATTACTAATCCAAGCCAATGGAAATCACTCTGGAAACCCTGTAGTTACTTACTGGTACTTTCATTAGTTTTCTTTTATTTCTTGGTATTGCAGTTCTTTAGATAAGAACTCCGATCTTTGATTTAAAATCAATTTTGAAATAGTTTTCACAGTATTGAATTATCTTTTTATAGAGCAAGGAACAAGCTTAAAAATATCAATATATCTGTGTGTTTTTTATTTCTTAAAGAGGTCTTTTGAATTTCTTCCTTTGTTTCATCCAACATGAAGGTTCTTATATAATATGTCTTGAGTTTCTTATGTCATAAATTAATATGAAAATACGAATTATATATTTCAGCATGCAAAAATATTTTCAATATCATAACACTTTTTGTTTTGTTACACACAATTGGTAACACATTGATTAATATCTCAGATGTCACCAAAAAAAAACAAACAAACAAAAAAACAAAAAACAAAAAAAACTAAACTTTTTTACTCTCCTCCAATATCATGTTTTACCCAATAAACATTACATACAAAAGACAATAGTTATTGAATATGTCTTGAAATTTGGTAGACTGATATCCAGAATGTTCAAGAGCTGTCCGAGGTTATCACATACAAATAACCTAATTCATTTTGATCTATTTCAAACAAATAACAAAGAACAAATGCTTACAGGTAATACAACTGTAAAATACTTTTATTTGACTGAACACATTTTGGTAAGTAAACTTGAACACACTGTGGTAGTAATAAATTTTACAAAAAGAATTCTAATATGTTTTGATACTTGTCAATTGAACATTTAAAAAACGTTTATTTGAATTTCATAATTAAATAGTTCTCGATTCATCATTTCTTTGCAGCCTGAGATCTCAAAATCTCTTCAACAAGTTCTTGTGCAGTCACATCCTTTCCAGCCTCTGCAAATAATAAAATATGTCAACTTTACTGTTATTTAGTCAAAGTCTAACCCACTTAAACGCAAAAGATTCACCAAATTCTCACCCAACTTCGCATAGCATACTTTTTTGTAATAAGTAATCAAACGCTTTATTTATATCATCTGTCAAAAATCCCATCCCCTGTGCTTTAGATTTTGCATTGATACTTGTTTGTGTCGGCTCAGATCCATATATTGTGAAACCAGTAGCACCAATCACATCTAAGAGTCAAAAACATATAATTATTAGCTGTGTATGAAAAAGATAAACAGTATATACATGTATGTACGAGGGTTGCTCGTCTTTCTGGCATCTTTTTTAGTAAACGTCATTTTATATTCAAATTTGATAAACATCTTTTCACAATAAATTCGTATGGTTTGAATTTAAATTTTCATATATACCATGATATAATATTTTGAACGTATTCAAAATCTAAAACTGTCAAAATTAATAGGATCACGGAGCAAGTATAATTTAGTAATTTACGAAACATACGCATGATAATGTCTATATATAGTCATATCTTTGTAAAATGGCGTAAAAACGGGAAAAAACTAGTCTTGCTACATTAATTGCTACATTTTTTCATTTGCCAAATTTTGACCTAATATTTAGCTTCGTTTAAAAGAAATCAATGTAAGCAGATGTGTAGGAAAGTGTTGGAGCAAGCAGAAAATACCTCGAAAGTGTACTATGGCCGATTCCGGTCGATCGTCACTTTACATTAACGTTCTGTGTGTAACATGTACAACATTTCACTGAAAACTTACTGACACTTTAATCCTTAAAGTAAAAGTGTACAAATTGTACAGTGGCATTGCAAAAATTCCATGTACACTCTACACCAACGTTTTGTATGAAAAGTGTCAGGAAAAGTGTTATGTACGCGTATACTCTACATCTGAAAGTTGTAACTAGTATCAGAACAGAACGGGCGTTTCTTTGTGTTGCCCCCGCAAAGTGCCTCTTTGTTCACATAGTTCTGGGGAAATGCTGACAAGGTTCCTTGGTAATTAAATGAATACTCACAAAGCTTTTATTTTAAAATTGATGTTTTTATATAGAGAGAGTGAACATGTCTCACCCACGCGGTATCTTTTTTTTCAGTGGATAACATTCTTAACCAGTATTCTGAACGAAGTAATACCTACGGTGGGAATTGAAAATAGCGCAAAGTATGCATGTAGTAGATGTAGTATAAAACTAGTGTTTCATGAAAGGTAAAATAGGACATTCAATTGTATTAAACTTACTTAAACGGGTCTAATTAGCAGAATTTGAAACCGAAGTTTTTGAAAGTAATTTTTATAATATTGCTATTAAGAAAAGGCTTAAAAGAATGGGTATACTTCCAGTAGCAAAGATCAAACAGTTCATTTAGTTTCGGAAGTGAAAATCTTGTTATATATGGATGAAAGTTTATAATGCATTTCAAAAGTTATAAGGTGAAACATTATTTTAATTTGGCAGCAATAATTACAGGGCATTTCCACACAATGTGAATGAAAAGCAGAAATGTTTTTGGTGTGAAAATTATCACTTTCCATTTATCTTGACTGGGAAACTCTATTGCGGATGTACCTCTCCTACTGGCCAGCAGACTCGTTTTTCAAGCTGTGTCCTAAATAGCATTTTCGATAGAAATTATACCAAAATTATCACGGTCTGCTCGAGTACATCCCTATGTGAACTCCAAGAGGCACCTTGCGGGGAAAACACACGAAGAAACACTGATTTTGTTTTGACCTTAATGCCATCTTTAGATGTAGATTGTACATGAATCTTTTCCTGACACTTTACACACACAACGTTGGTGTAGAGTGCACCTAAAATTTTGCAATGACGCTGTACACTTTTACTTTTATATTTAGGTGTAACGTGCGATAAGTGAGTTTTCAGTGAAAAGTTTGTTCATATTACTCACATAATGTTAGTGTAAATTGATGGCCGGTGTCGGCCATTACAAAAGTGAGCCGTGCATACACTGTCCGCAAACTTTTCGAACAGCCCTCATATGTTGAATACCGTAAATCTGGAAATTTTTACGTCGATTTATTTTTGCGAATCTGGGTCAAAAAGCTGTTGATTAATTTTTACGTTTCAAAATTTTGCGAATTGCCATTGGTGTTCCATTGAAAAGCGCTTAAAATTTTCAAAACAGTTAAATACGTAACGCATGTACATACAATAAATCACGCATGTACTCGTACATACAATATTAAGCGATACCAACGCTCAATAATCAGATTATAAATTACGCATATATACATACAATAAATTACGCATGTACATACAATATTAAATGATTGCAACGTTCAATAATCAAATAAAAAATATTAAAAGTGATAAAATATCTAAACTGTTTAAAGTTGTCATAACATTTTATTAAATCACACATTAAAAAATATTAAAAGTGATAAAATATCTTAACTGTTTAAAGTTGTCATAACATTTTATTAAATCACGCATGTACATAATGTAGATAAAACGATGTCAGCTTTAAATGACCTTCAGATAAAAACATTCTCTACCGGGTATATAAAGAGAAAAATGTCTAATTGATATTGAATTACAAAATATATACATGTATAAAACTGGCCTCTCTTTCTTGGAGAAATAATTTAAAAGAGACATGAATGCACTCTCCATGCACGGATTATCACGGGTAATTAGCTTTAGTATAAACAGGTTTTTTTAAATTGGCTACTGCTTATGAATTCACTGAGTTAAAAAAAAATAGCCACCAATTTTTTGTTTACATTTTTTTGTTGTTGATTTATTTTTAAGAAAAATATTTTTGCGAATGCAATGCACACGCAAATTTGCTAAAAAATTATCTACAGTAAAAATTTCCAGATTTACGGTATACTAAACGAGGAATTTAAATTTGTTCAAAATTGGAATGTATGTAGGCCTATTTAAGAAAAAAAATAAAATTACCTCCCAAAACCTGTTCAGATGGAACGCTTTGTCCCTGAGGAACTTCGAACGGCAATGCGTCTGTTACCTGTTGCAAGAACCAACTAAATTTCCAATTATTTTGTTTGGTTTTAAAATGTTCTTTTCAGAAAGAGTTGACTTCAGGTGAACAGGTATATTTGTTTTAGATGTTTTTATTTAAAAAATCTTATATCATTTGTTTTGTTGTTGTTGATGTTTTGTTGTTGTTGTTGTTGTTGTTGTTGGTTTTTTGTTTTGTTTTGTTTTTTTGTTTTTTTGATATATTTTATTGGCGTATAAAAAATAGTCCAAATTTATTTTAAATCAAATAATACCGGTATTGCTGACGAAACAATGGTTTGTGATATCGACGTATTGGGTTCGGTGAAATTATGAAATTGGAGATCACTTTAACAAATAAATTGCGATTACACTCAATCTAACATCACTTATAAGTATATAGTTTTACAATATATAAATGGGTATAAATGAAATCAAAGCAAAATAAAAAAGACCTTCATTAATTGATATTTCCTCTTTCACATAGCCATATATATATGACAAAAAATAATATTACTCACTACATCACTGATGCGACTTTGATATTCCTGGTCAACTTTTCTCTGGAAAAGAACGTTAAGGAGTTTCCTTAAAGTAAATAATACTCGATATCTAATTACAGAATGACGCACAAAGCATCCAGAGGGAACTTCTAATCCGCGTTTGATTATTGGATGTGTCATCTTAGGTTATTATGAATTTTGAGCTTCAGTGTGGCCAAATTGGTTTTAATTAATTAAGCTTAAAATGTTATAACTAGTCAAACGAACAGAAGCGAAAACTCACACAGAAGTACAGAAGGGGGGTACTGCTCACATAGAGGTAAGTGGGGGGATCTTAAGAACATTACATTTTGTTATACCTTTAAAAATCGTTTCCTCCATATTCATTCCTATGTAAATCTATCCTAACAAAGTCTTTTACTGAGCGGTCCAAAAAAATCGATGTTGGACCGCTGAGTAAAACATTGGAATATAACATAAAAATTGATATTTTTTTATTCATCAATCAATGGTGAAAGCATCATCAATTTGGCCATAACAGATAAAAGTAGCAAAACTATGTACATGTATCTGTATTTTCTTATTTTTTTCCACTTGTAATGCAATGTTATGTATTACGATTTAAATTTTCTTATTCACATGGATTTTAAGAGCCGGGGTCATTTTAAGACGTCGAAAAATGAAAACCTGTCATTATTCTACAGGGCTCGGCGTTCGTCTTTACACCGTAGAAAATGTAATACACTTCTTTTCTACGGGCGGATTTAGAGGGGACCCTAGGGTTCCTCCTTTTGTGACCAAAAATTAAATCAAGATGAAAAAATACTTCTTTTGGCCTGGACACACTGGAAGCCTTAGCTAGGGAAGCCCCCAGACCCTAGGCCTATTGCCCCACCCCTTTTCAGGAATCCAGGATCCGCCACAGCTTTCATTATACTAACACTTTATCAAATTATCTTTTTTAAATTGCAAATTGGATTTTTGTCGATATGCAGATAATGACCCAGGACCATACCTTTACCGTGTCTTTGCTTTTTCTATTCATGCTGTTAAAGGAAGGAATACTGATTAGTACAACTGGAAAAGAACAAAATTGACGTGCAAATTAGAAAGACATATACTCGTACTATTATACCATTATTCTGCTCTTTCACTTTTTGTTACTCTTTCACGCTAGAGTAGGTCTAATTTTAAAAGGTTTTTAGAATTAGTTATTTCTGGGCCATAGCGTAAAAAGTTATTTTATTTTTAGAATAGGTATTTCCTTAAAAAAAAAAAAAAAGAGCAAAATAAAAACACATTCAGGAATTTCATTCAAGTTGCTTTGATAGAGATTATATCTTTTCAAATGTTTTATACTGTGATATGAACTGCTATCTTATATATAAAAAAAATTATCAGAAGCGCTTACCTGACAAAATCTCTCTATTACGCGTAAATAAGTTATATATGTTTGCGTGAAAATGAGCATGCGTAAGGCAGATTTACTTATTTATAGCATCTTATGTAAGTCATCAATTTAAAATGTGAAGAACATTGGTGTTTAAAAAGTTATTTTTAAGACATTTTCGAATAAATGAAAAATGTATATTAAAAAATTAAAATAATCTTTTTTTAATTCAAGGCATGCTTTTAAAATGGTAAACACAAAATGTACGCTGAAGAAATACTTATTCACATTTGTTGATATTAATTAATTCAAGGTCGGTTACTCTTATAAGTATTATTGTATCGATGTTTCTAACATCATTTTTTTCTGACAAACTAAGAAAAAAAATAAGATTAATAGTCCTGCTGGTCTTTCCAGAGAAGCATTGGGCTTGACTTCCTTTGAACTGATAAATTCACAGAATACACGATTATTATAAATCTTACCATCTGCGACAACTATTTCTTAAAAATTGATTATATACATTGTATACAAGTATATATACTTTTCCTGAGAATATTTTATTTTATTATTTGCTTCTCCAATCAAAAATCGAAATTACAATCAACATGAATGTCATTATTATGGACAGATGATACAAACAAATTATTGGATTGATATATATTTTTGGACCAATTTTAATTGCATGTAACTAATGGAAATATTAAATTTCTAAAATATTTAGAAATTGTAAACTTTTTATGATGTTCAAAATGCTTTCTTTTGTACCGTCATTCTTTTAAATCTATAAACGTTTTAATCACTTTGTGGAATATTATTGTGAAATCTTGAATGAAAATTTAAAATTTATGCGGTTAAAATAATTCGTTTTACTTACAGAAACATGGTTTTCCTGTTATTTTCATGCTTTTTGTGTAAAGTCTGTTAGTTTCATTCGTCCATAATTAGGTTCAAACAATTTTATTATATATGAAATTATTATTTAAGAGATTTTTAAAGGACACCTAACCATAGCCAACTAATATATTTACTAGTACTGTATAGCATTTATATCACGTAAAATACAATAAAAGTTATTCCAAGGCACTTAAACATTAATATAAAAAATTTTGTAAAAAAAAAAAAAAAAAAAAAAAAAAAAAAAATAGATAAATAATGAATAAAATAAAAGTAAAGAAGGATAACCCCAAAACAAACAGCAGCAATAATACTCAAACATCTATGTAGGAGGCAAAGAAAAGTTACTCAAGATCTTTGCTTGAAACATGCTGTTTTACATACTACTCTGATCGATCCTTTGATTAAATATATTGGACATTTCATAAGTGCTGGTGCACACTGAGCATCAGAAAGATTATGCCCACACCGAAGAAAAATTTTTCTGAGTCAACATCAGTTGAAATTCCTTGAAACTTCACTCCAATTTCCAGGTCTTAAAAACTAAAGGATACAGATTTTTAAATTATCAGACTAGCTGGATACAGTTACATGTACCTACACTAATCATTTAAGCTTGCATTTTTGTAACAACGGCCAATGGTCGTATCATGTTAATACACTCCTGGCTCCGGGATCATGAAACATCTTAAGCTTAAGTCAAAATCTTTATTTTATGCTAAAATGATGTAGAAGTCAAGCAGACCAAAATTAAAATATTTTTCAACATTGCTTCACAAAAGTGTTGTTTTCTGCAAATTTAGAGATTAATTCAATAATTAAGAAATATTTTACAAGCGACTGAAAATTTGACTTAAGTCTAAGTCTGTTTCATGATCCTGCTATAAAAATCTATCTAAAAATCTATCATAATAATTTGTTCATTTTAATTTGATATAATTAGATTAGAGGACGTTAGCCATATTAAATATTTATTAGCAAGAAAACGCATAGTTGTCCGATGTTTCCAGCTCTAGCCACGTGGAGGCCTCCTCTATACATGTAGAGCCACTTTTTTTTTTTTTTTTTTTTTTTTTTTTTTTTTTTTTTTTTTTTGTTTGGTATTTTGTTTTTTAGAAGCATGGTGTGATTCTAAGTCAATTGTTCAAGGAATCTGCACCAGATGTTGTTTCTATATTTGAATGTCATGGGCACCAGCGTCTTCACTGTTTTTCCTGTCACTGTCTCGTACACGCCTGTGCTCTGCCTGTCGACGTTTTCATTCCAGTGGCAGATAGCTAACGATGTCCTCATCTTGTAGGAATCATCCCCAAAACTTATTCTCTTGTCATGAAAAATGTTGAGGACGTTGCTGAAGGACTCCACGTAATAAGTGTCCATGGCAAAAACATAGTCCTCGGGGCATTTATACACGACCGTCTTCCTGACTGCGCTGTTCAGCAGATTCTCGGCAACCGGATCTCTGATCAAAATTTTGCTTGGCTCATAGTTTGGGTCAGTGCGGCAGCGGCTCACTTCGGGACAGTTATAGTGAATGTTCTTAAGATTATCGTAACAAAAATTGCATAAAAATAGAATATTGTGGAATTTATGAATCTCGAGGGTGAAGTAGGAAATGTATTAAGGTTTAGCCGATCGCGCAGGATAAATATAGAAAAAACAGATGCTGGGCAGGAGTGCAGGATGAACTTTTCACCGCTGATAAGTAACTCCATGAAGTTTGCTGTTTGTTTGTAGATTAAGAAAAGTCAAGATTATGCAAAAAGTTCAAAAAGAATTTTAAAGTGCAATTTAAGATTAAAAGAGAGTTTAAGGACGGATAATGTCAATTTAAATTCAGAGCAAAATTAAAAGTCATTAATACAAATTTTGAAGAAATACTCAAATATGCAAGGCATGTACGGGCATGTACGGGGGTATAAATGTAGCACAGTGAGACATATCCAGCCGGTGGTCTGCTGGATTTTGTCTCTTTCTGGTTGCATTTATACAGGTAAGATATTTTTGTAGACTTACGCGATTTTTGTTAAATTGGTAAAATTTTCAGATGGCTCAATGTATTTACAGGTTAATATATTTCATAATCTAAAAGTAATGTTTCTTATTTATTATAATGTTTATTATATTGTGCATTGTGTATCTTTAGTAATTGTAAATAATTAGAATGTATGTGTTAATTTAATAAAGGATGGTCTGCTGGATTTTGTCTATTTCTGGTTGCATTTATACAGGTTGGGTAACAGCTAGGGCCACTTCCCATAACCTGTGATGCGTTATGGACAGGAAGGGAGTAATATGAATCCTAGGAAGAGTAGATTCAAACTGGAACGTCATTTTGAGAAATAAAGGAATATTAATAATCCAGCTAACTTGGGTCAATCGGATCAAGACCAGGGGATTGAAGGAATTGTTCCCCTGTGTCTAAAAACCCAGAGCCATCAGACGACAAAATAGACAATCTTTTCCCAGAAAACCAGACACACTCGGGGTAAGAGGACCAGATACACCTTGGGCAGGATCAAGAGAAAGACCTAGAGAAGCCAATTTCGCAGGTTGCAAAAACAAACTCCCATATTTTTTTGGTTACATATGATTTTTTTTTATCAATCTCATTGTGTGTTTTATCCCCGAGCCTTAAAAAATCATACCCAACCACAAATCATGAGAGATCCTATATGTCCAATTTGCCTTTGTCTTTGTCTTTTATTTTTAGTTTATTGTCCTCATCTTGTATATTTAGTTTATTGTCTTTGTTTTGTGCGTGTCTTCATTTTTTTTCATTTCATTTTGCACAGCATTCATGGTAAAAATTCAGTTAACACTCACTCTTTTGCACGTAATCTTGATTCTCACGTACTTAGGTGTTTATGAAATATATGTGACCTAGGAAATTATACGTAAAAACATAAGGGTTACTCCGGAATAAATAATATGATGATCAAAATGTCTGCGGCCAGTTTGAGCTTACGGGTGTCAAAGGACTTCAATGTTAAATACTTGATAAACTTATATCTCCTGGACAATACAAATAAGTGATTAAATAATTGATAAATAGTTCTGTTGTAAATATTATGTAATTGTATGTAATTTGCTGTTTTGTACATATTAGACAGTTAGCGGCTGGCCTTCGCTAAGACAGCCACGCTGGACACGCTCATGTACAGTTAGAAGAAAATCAAAAAGGAAGCAAACCAGAGACAGAGAAAGAATTGTCAAATTTTGCAAGAATCGTCAAGAAAAATCAACGTTAAGTGAAATGCCATTCTCATCTGTTAGTATTATTGAAATTCACACTGAAACTTTGGAGACTCAAGTTAAAAAATTCAAAGACCAGGCAGCATCGTACAAATCAGACGCCCAGTATTATCAAACCAAGTGGTTACGTGAGCGGCAAATGTCTCTAACTCGGTTCTTAGAAAAAGACAAAACTATCAAAGAACACTGGGAAAAACTCTCAACTGTAGAAAAGGACCTTGAGGAATCGAAAAAGGTGATAACTTTCAAAAGGGCACGAAAAAGAAACAGGAACATATTAATTCATTCCTGAAAGAGTTTCATTCCTCAAGGAAAGCAATCTACAGTGGACCACCCCGTGTCAGAAGTATGCTTAACAACACTAGACAAACTTGGAAACACGAGGACATGTTTCGGGGGGCAAAGGGGTACTGTGACCGTGTGAAATAAACACATTGTTGAGTAACATTAATTGTCTTTGATAGTGCTAATTATACATAATAGACCTTGACCACAAGACATTTGAT